CCCGCGGGGCCCCCCCGGCCTCTGCAGAGCTGCCCTGGGAGCCAGCGGGTTTCAAGCGTGTAAGTAAAGTAATGCCCAAGGCTCTTCCTAGCCTGTGGCCTCAATCTTCTATGTCCCACCGTGCCCCCGAGTTAACGTAAAACCTCTTAGTCTTCATCTGTTTTTTTGGACGATTGTGTTTATTTTCTCAGTATCCAGCATACAGAGGATACAAATTTCCTTATCTGTATAAAAAGCAGAGGCATAGGAAGTCATCCCACTTAGAGCAGTGTATTTCTTCCCGTATACCTTCAGATAGGCAATGATGATGGGACCTGCCAGTTTACAACAGCTCTTTATTTTACCCATATTATAAAACATGATCATCACAGGGCTTTAGTTGAACAGTGGTCACCTGTTTTAAATCCCTTGTGTTATAAATACTAACAAATTAACTTTATTTTCTATCAATCAGCAATACCATAAAAACTTAGTCTAGCTAGACATGTTTTTCAGCGATCCCCTGATGCAAAAATCCTTAAGAATGTGAAGTAGATCTCTATATTGTATATATACTTAGTTTTATATATATTTATATCAAAACTCACCATTTGTGATATAACTCATTATTGTGATCTTTCATAATAAATTTATGTCAGCATTATGAAAATATGAACAACCATCTAGTTATTTTGCTGCTTTGTAAGATATTTAATGATTGAACAGAGAACTGCAAAATTACATGAATGCAATGGAAAGTCATGTACACGTTCATTAAGATTTCTACATGGACTTTTCGTATTCCAAAACTTTTTCCACATTTTAGGAGTCCTTAAAAAACTTCCAGTTACCTCTTTCTTTGAACACATACACACAAGAAGTAATGATGTGCGTATACGTATTATACATTACATACCATATGTAATTATATATTTAAAAGCAAATATATGTAACATACTCTGAATATACATATTGTATGTAATATATATATACAGAGATACCACAGGTGTGTTGTATGTGCTTGTTTAGAAACATGGGTGGATGCATAAATATATATATATATATGGTAAATTCTTCCCTCTGATATGTATACGCTGCTCTTTCTGAGAACTGGGTGCCTTCCATGGAAACCTACTGCCATCAGTGCAATCCATTCACTTCCAAAGACGCAAGCAAACCTGTCCCCGACCCATTTAACTTCAGTGAGTTTCAGCTTATGAACTCCAGTTCATGCTTCAAAATGGACCCGTTTTGTCCTTGGGTTAAGGTTTAAATCGCCAAACTAAACACAGCTGACGCTATAATGTATTTGAACAAGTAACCAAGAGCACTTCAAAAATTAAAAATCACAGGGGGCCCGATTCTTCTCCTGCCAATACCCATTTTATCCCACTGTGACTCGACTGCCCGAAGGGACTGCTGCACACAGCGAGGAACCTGTGAGTAGTGCGAGGCTGCTTGTCTTGGCTTTAGAGTGCAAGTCACATAAACTTTGAGTAGGTTGAGCTGTTTTATTTTGCATTTGGATTTGTAAAGGAAAGAACAGGCCTTTTATGGAAAGGGAAGAGATGGACATTCACTAGAAAATAACAGCAGAGATGATTATACATTCTTAAGTGAAACGTGCACCATATAACCTTTGGGTTAAGTTTCTAATCTGTTAATGTCTACTTACTGAATGTGTTTCCACTACTATGCACCTGATTAACCAGGACAACTCTTATTAAAATGGTTTAGATGAATACTCTGCATATTAAAAATACATAATAAAATTCTGAAACTAGTCACTGCTAAAAAGTAGATCTTGGATCCTGCAAAGATCCGAAGCACCTGCTTAAAATTAGAATTCGAGTAGGTCCACTGATGGCCTCTACTGGAAATGAGTGCCTAAATATTTGCAGAATCAAGACTCTTTATTATTCAAAGGTTAAATTTGGGATCTCACACCTGAGAACACGTAGTGGTTACTACCATGAGTGATCCCCACCAAGGAGGAGGTTATGTCTTGCGCCAATAGCCAGAGCAGACTCCAAGGGCAGGACAGACTGACTTTACAGAGAGACTGACTCTTTAAAAACAGCCAAGAGCAATGACTACCAACAAATCTTCCCAAACACTACCATTTTATTTCCCAAGAAGGCCAACTTTGCATTACAGATAAAGAACTTACTTAGGCATATTTTTCTCCTTAAATATATTTGTATAACATAAAAATAACAACTCTCTATTTTTAAAAATGAAATTTGAGTAAAATTTGCTTTGGGACCAAAACTGTGTACTTCAAATTTCTCCCACAGCAATTTACTTACAGCTGGGTTGTAAACCCCAGAAAACAGGGGTCTGTGGTTGGAAATAGCAGCCTCATCTTATGCTGCTCTTCTACATCTTGGTATAGAGACGAGCAGATGCACTTTTGCACACAGGTTGCCAGAAATCCTACAGCCCATTCCCTATGTGCTTGTTCTGCTGTAAGACGGTAAATTGATTTCAATTGCCAAAATTAAAAAGAACAAAAAAACCAAAAAAAAAACCAACACAACAACAAACAACTGAAACTTGTGCTTCTAGAATGCCCTGACCCTGCTTGCAAAGCACTTCCCCTTGTCACCCAGCTTCGGCATCACTTTCCTTCCTTATTGCATGCCTGTTGAACCGTTTTGTGGCTGAAGCGTTAGCATGTATGTGGTACAGGCATAAAATCCTTCAAAAGAATTGGATTTCTGCAAATTGGATTGGTAAATTTTCTTCATCTCTGGATTATTTGTTTTTGTAGGGTCTAGTGTTACTTTGGTTGAGCCCAATGGGGAAAGTCCCACTGAAGTCCATGATGCAGAAGGAGCTGTTAGACGTTCAAAGACCTCTCCAGCCAACCTCTTTGTGATTCCTTCTCTCATCATAATTTTTTTAAATGTGCCCATTATCACCAACTGCCAATGTTAAAATTAACTCTTTTTTTTTTTTTCATACAAACAACATTTACCACAAAAATGTGAAGGGAAAGCCATCAACTTGTTTGCAGGTTATTACCTATTTGTATGACACAAAAGAAAAATCATTTACAGTCACAAACTGTACATAGTATTCGGTGGGGGACAGTATATTTGTGGTTTAGAGTAAAAAAAGGCTTGCTTCAGTGGTAATTAATTATTGACGAGATATAAGACTTTAAAATCAAGAAAGTGTGATAATTTGGCTACAGAGACGATCATTGTAATATGTCTAACAGAGACCGAGATAGTAGAAAGGTGAGTAGAGGGATCTGGGGAAGGAAAGACACCGTCATGCAGAACAGCACTAGTTCTTGCTCAGTATACTCTTCAGGCTTCTCTCCACTGCTTCATCTAGTTCTTCTTCCAGCTCTTCCTTCTTGGACATGGCCAGTTTGGACTGATAATCTTTTACTATTTGGTCTATATATGGTGCGCTCTGAGTCCCATGCAGCATCAGTGTCCACTCCTTCAGCACGCCCCGCTGCGGCAGACTGCCGACGAACCCAATCTCTAGAGCCCAGGTGCCTCGGGGGTCTTCTCCCCAAGTGTGTGTGGTCATGAAAGGCCATTTGTCAAAACCCACCTTGGAGTCATCATCCCGGGGACGCCGGCTCAGTAAAATGGACTTGGTTCCCATTGGCGAGGTCATGTTGATGTTGAGGTCTCCTCGCCTAGTGGAATTCACAGTTATAACTGCTTGAACGTGTTCAAGGTATCGCACAAAGTTTTCCTTCCCCTCACAAGCATCAGTTGTAAGTGTAAGGACCAGCTTCCCACTTGGTGATATCTTTCTGCAGGTCAAAAGATAAGACAATTAAGCAAATTAAAAGGAGACACACAGCATGACACGGCTCATGCTAGAACTACTGGGTTCTGGTGCCTCACAGAAAAACCCATACTATTTTCCCTATTAATACACGGGAAAGTAAGGAAATAATAGTTGCAAACTTAGCCAGAAAGAGAACATTCTCTTTTTAGAAAATGCTATCGAAACCTTAGTTGGAAAATACATTATGAAATGTACACCTACACAAAGAGAGAAGGAATACAATTAAGTAGTACATACTGCTCTTTATGAAACATTAACATATATTTAATAGTTGCCTTTACTAATCACTATTATATTTGGTAATTGCATAATCATGTGTATATTCAGTAGAAGAACTGTGAGCACTCAGTCATGTCAGACAGTCACCTGAAAAGAGAGCAGCGAACAGCTGTCTGGAGTCAGAGGAGCCAGTGCAGTGCAGTGACATTAAAGCCTGCACCTTTGTTCGGATTTGGAAACCACCACAACAAACGTGGGATGCCAGTGTCGGCTCATTTGAAAAATATTTTTCCACGAAAATCGCTTATCCTTGAACTGCTCCTGCATGGGAGCACACACACTGAGGAAAGTAGTTGCACTTGTTTAACAAGTTGCTGAAGTGCTGCACCTTGAAGTCACAAATTTCTTGGTGGTTATAATTCAGTCCTTATGAAGGCAAAAGCATAATTAACTGAAGGACATCTGTCCCATGTATTACCAAAAAGCTAGACCTGCAGATGGAACGCAGGCTCAGTCCCACTGCGTTTATTTTGCAAGGATGCCGTCATCAAACGGAAACCAGATGCCTGTTACCAGCAGACAGGGCTCCTTTGCTGGAGAGAGTCTGACACCTGACGATGCAGCGCCTGGAAGCTGACATGCAACAGGAGAAAACCACCTCACGTCTGGGGCTGTGCAATCGCTCCCAACTGTTAATGGACTGACTTACCACCATTTGTCACCAGGATGAACTGAACACAACAGGGAGCAGCATTATGCCAGTCAGTGCTCTTGGCTCCCTGTGTGTTGGGCACCCACAGGGTGTTTGCTCCCCGTGTGGTTGAGGAAACCCGTGCGGCAGCACTATTTTCCAGGTGGGCCTCCAAGGCTATCAGGAAGAGGCAAGCGCGTGCTGGGGCACAGCAAGGTTCTTCCGTGCCTTCCCAACTCTCGCAGAGGAGGCCAGTAGCCGCTGTGCGCTGGGCAGTCCTGCTTGGGATCTCAGCACGGGCCCCAAGGCACTGGCGCCTGGTGCGGGAGCAGCACCCTACCAGCAGTCGAGGTTGCCAAGGGCCTGCTAAACCCCTCGGGGTCAGGATGTAACTGGCAGTTACCAGCTGCCTCAGAAACTGGGGAGCAAACTAGACTGGAAGTGTAAACAAAATTCTCTGCCTTTTTACTGTCAAGTGTGGTGTGAGCAGTGTGGCACTTTCCTCTGTCTAAAAGAAATACTTGAAAGACAAGAATTACTGCAATCGTTAAAAAAGGGAGTAAGTCACAAAAGCCTCCAGTCAGCTCGTCGTTACCTCTTCCAGTGGCTTCTCCCTGACCTAGGTTTGCAGTAAAGTAAGAGAGAGAGTCCCTTTTAAAGGGCATTGACCACACTGCAGTAATGAATACCTTCTTTTCAACAGAAACAAGTACCAGCCTTTTCCCTTCGATAATGAAATAATGTGTTCTTCAGAGACCAGTGGAAGCATTTCATTCAAGCCTAGCTTCCAGGAATTATCCTCTTCTTGAGATGAGCTCCAGGTATTACAGCTTAGTACATCACTAATTAGCTCAGGCCAGTCTCTGCCGCCCTTTCATAGAGTATTGCATTCTTGGGAGCACTTGCAGGGAAAAAAGACATTCAGGTCCAGGTCCTCATGGCATTTAAACACTTAACCTGAAAAACGTTCTGAGTCTTACAGATGCCCTGGAGCAGAAGCTGGTATAAATATTGTATAGCTAAAATATTTGAATATAGAAGATCCTCACGGTTTATTTTGTGTGCCAAAGCACAGGGCAAATGCACTATATGCAGCCAGAGGTGAAGGATCATAATCTCGCAATTGCCACACACTTGCAATTTCTCTGCACAGGGAAGCATTGTCCTTAAAGCACTCTGAATTCACGCTGCCTCACAGCAATCTCACACAGCGGACAAAGCTCTGTCAAACAGTGCTTCATGCCGAGAGTTGTGATAAGTGCTTTCTATCTCCTCCAGTGAATGAGGGAGGACGCTACAGCCTGAGTCTTTTCTATCTATCAACACCCCTGAGTCTTTTCTATCTATCAACACCAAAACCCAAAGAAACCAGAGCAGTGTTACCACTCCATCTGCTTTGCAGACACCCTGACAGCTGCAGACAGCTTTTCTCTCCACCTTCTGAAGTGCTGCAGCACAGAAATTATCTCGGCTCTCTAAAACACATGAGAAAAGGCTTGCTCTGCTCCCGCTATTCCTATTAACTGGGATCCAGTACTCTCTGCTTTGCCAGACTAATTGCTATAGCCCAGGTGAAGGTTCCCAAAGAAGCTAAAAGAACCAGGGGTGGTGGAAAAAGCCTGACATGAAAGGAGCAGAAGAGGAGATGAGAGGAGATGGGCTTTCCATACCCTCACACTGTGCCGCTGCCCAGTTGCTATATATCTCTCGCTGAAAAGTACATTCACTTCTGCAGGAAGTGTAGTACCCAGTTAGAGATGAGCAGGGGGAGCTAACTGCTCCTGTGCTCCCGTCCCTCAGCTAATGGACTATGATGTCCTAAATTATCTTTGTATCTCCCTGAACCAGCCAGATTCAGACTTGGCCATTATTTTTTTTGCTGACCCAGCAAAAATCCCTTTTCAGAGCAAGTTCCTATTGCTAGCAAGTGTTTCTACACGCAGCAGAGAAACGCTGCACTTCAAATATGGATTGCTGTCAGCACACTGTATATTCTAGGCTGTCCATTCTTTCCTGGCCTGTTTCTGCTAAGTGACAGTGCTGCTCTGGCACACACCCTTGTATCAACTACTCACCTACCTAAATCTATATTGAATATGTATTTTATGTATACAAATACCTATACTTATAGAAACACATACAGAATATATATAGAAAATATTGCTCCAGCAAAGCCAAACTAGAAAAATAACGCAATTACCGACGGCAGAAGTGCAGTGTGGTTTTAATATCCAAGGAATCTCTGGAGATGCTGGGAATTCACTAGTTTTATTTAAAGTATAATTAAAAAAATGTAGATGTTGCAAGTCATGATGCTTATTATCTCCTCTCAGTGACATTTTCACTGGGGGACGTAAATATTACATCCGTCCTATTAACACAGGGTAATTATAGGGGGGGTACCCACACAGACCACACACTGAGACTATACTGCAGTAGAGTTCGGAGGCTTAGGTGGTGACTCACTTGGCTGAACCTCACAAATCTGTGTGCTGTAAGCAGAGAGCCTGTTCTGGGTGCTGCTCTCAAAAGACACCAGTGCAAGGCAGTGAATTTCTCAACTCTGGAGCTTGTGAGGCAATGACAGCTATAGGGAAGCTTTACTGCAGTCCCAGGTCCCTGGGCAGCAGGAAATGCACCGTCCCCTCTGCTTTTCTATCCGTTCAACAGCAGAAACAGGACAGGAAAACAAAAGCAGGAGGAGACAATACTACTGCACAGCACTTGGCCTGACTCTGGCTCAGTCTGTTGCCAGAATACCTCTACTACATTGTCTAATGCATGGAGCCAAGCCTACAGAAAGAAGTCTCTCTTCCTCTAGGAAGATCCCCATTTCAATACATGGGACTGCACTAAGATAAATTAGGTGATTTGTCTGCATTTAAATTATGAATAAACTAGAGATAGCTCAAAATTAGCTTCAGCACTCTCTCATTTCTTTCCTACCTGTGAGTGTGGGTAGGCCAGATAAATTAAAACTCAGATCTCAGCTGTAGAACCTTGGATCCTGCAAATACAAACCCATCTGGAAGGCTGGGAACAAACTTACTCTTTGCCTGGCTGAGCTACGTGCCAGGGTGGCATACTGGTTTGCTTTCTTTTTCCAACAGAGTAATGATGCCTTCAAAAATGGCACTGACAAGTCAAATTTCAAATGGTATAAACATAAATTTGCCATTATTAGGTTAGTATTTCAAATAATTAAACTGAACTATAGCTGTTGCAGTCAATTAATATTAATTCATTCACTTGTTGACTCATTCACTTCAGCACATGAAGGTAAATCAGAAAGTAATTTGACTACCTAGCCTGCAATTTGAGATTTGAAGAACATAAACACAATTAAATGCTGCAGTGTTCAAACCCAATCACTGGTACCTGTGGATGATTGTTTCAGTCTTCTGGAGATAAAACTGTCTGCTGGGATATGTCACAAGGAGATATGACCTGGTTGACAGATATTTCATGTGGCAGCAGTTTATGTAATTTACAGTGCCAGCCTCCCGGACTTTCACTTGTGCACAGGCTCTTTATCCGCAGAAACTTTGGCACAAACATACCTGTAAGTACCCGGGAGAAATGGATGTTGCTATTAACACTACTGGCTCAAGCAATGATGATACAGATGAGCTGTAGAATGCACTCCTCCAGCAAACCAGGAACTGAAAGATGATGTAGTTTATTTTATCAGCTTATTGAAATAGTTGGAATGCGAGGTATGGCAATGTTAGGCTTTGTTAGAAAAAAAATTTCATTATGTTTCTTGACTATCTATGTCTTTGTCAACCTACTTGCATGCTTGTGGTCTCCTAAATACCTGGAAGAAGCCAAACACATACACTAGACTATTATTCACTTACTCAGGCTCCTGGATTGACCCTCCAACACAATGGAATCTCTCGGGAACAGTTTTCCAGTCTTTCGCCATCTTAACCATTGCTCCTGCATCTAGGACACCATAGCCAAACAAATGGTTGAATTCCAGCCCAACGCCATTTCTGCGCCATTGATGAACCTCATCGTGAAGCTGGTTCCTCTTGGAGGTGAGCACTGTCAGATGCTGCATGTCTCTCCATGTCAGATCCGAGCTGTGGAAGAGCAACATGGAAAACACACAGTACAGTATTTCCAAGCAGATATTAAAGACAGACGGAGTGTTTGAATAAGCCTTCTGGTAAAATTTACTTCTATGAATCACACAGAAATTGTATCTATACACATATCAAAAACAAAGCTTCTGTTGATTTCAGTGGGAACAAGAATAGGTTTTAATTGTATACTACTTCCCCAAAATATATCCCCCAAAATTGCAAAATCATTTCTGATTGTTTCCCTGTTCTTGAAAACAACTGCTTTTAACTACACATTCTAGATCCACCACGCAGTTTTTAAGCTACTAAAATGAGTAGGATATTATACCAGGTCCTTAAAAGAATACAAAAAGACAAAGATGATGACAAAATTTCACCTAGCCTTCCCCTTAAATCTTGCCCTCTTTTCTTTGCCTGCTCCTCCTGCTTTTCCAATGGACCTTCCGAGATTCACCCAGAGAAGCCCCAAGCTGATGAAGTTGATGAGTTGCAACAATCGAGGTGTTAGTAATTTCAGTATTCTGCGCATATGGGTATATGGGCTGTGGGTGGCTGTGGGTTTGCATTACGAGGTACGGTAGAGCTTTGTCACCCGTGATGTACTAGCATGGATGGATGCGGTCAAGTAACATTTGTCTAGATTCGATGATCATTTTTCATCATCAGCTCTTGTCTTCCTAGATTTGCAGTGATTATGATGACAGGAAGGGCACTTGTAAGTTATTATTCTGGAAGCTTTAGAACTGACATTCTAATTCTACGTAACTAAAGCTATTCCAGTTGTTTTATGATGAACTCTTTCAACATTACAATATGTCTGATTCAAACCATCAACCTTAAAAGGATCTGCTTTTCAGCTTTCTGTGCCCCAAGTAATAAGCATGTGTGCATGCTGAATGTACACCAGAATAGCCAATTACTGTCATTTTTCCAAGGTGACACAAGATAGCTGAAAAGCAGATTATCACTTGCATCATTCTTGCTGCAATCTTTTAAGAGCTGCTACATATCTTAAAACTACTTTCCAATTCACAGATTGGTCTGTTTTTAGAGACCTGTCAGACATATATTGTATATGAGCTGACATACTGCAGGCAAGAGGAGTCTGCAAGGGAGATTGTTAGCCACCCCCGTGAAGGCTGGTGTAACTCATGCAGGGTAGTTCTGCACAATACAATTTAACAGAGCCAGTCTGGAAGGAGATAGGAGATGCTGACAGTTCTTTCTCTCCCCTGACCGCCTTCTCAGCAAAGGTTTGAAACTCATTTGCAAACCAGGGGCATTAGTCTAATAGTGATAGTAACAAGTGACAGTTTGGCAAGAGTAATTCCAGTCTTCACGGGTAATTCAAATGAATAGGAATGATAATTATTCCCGAGATATTAAGGTTGTAGTCCAGGTTAAACAAGCAGTGGTCAGAAAATTCATTAAACCTTTATATTTTTATGGCCATATTCATTTATTACATGGTGGTTGTCTCACTGAACAAATTTGACAGTAGAAGGAATGATCATCCAAAGTTAAACACTTGGCATGGGTGTTTTCCGTGTGTAAAACCTGAAAAAATGAGACTTGGCCCAAGTCATGCTCTGAGCACAACAATCATTGCTCAGCTAATGATGTAGACTTTATATCCTCTGCCAAATCTTCATTCTTCTGCACTGTTGAAGAAAACTATGTGCATGTACACACAACTTCATGCGGCTGTTACAGCAACTGAAGCGCTATAACTGAGCAAATGTCTCTGGTATAGATTATTGTAAGGAAAACTTCTGCTAATTGTTAGAGAAGATAGCGAAGCAAGATATACAAGAGGGCTCCAATGTCATGAATAGCATGGAGGTGCTAAATAGACAATGGATATTTACTCTTTCACGTAACAGAGCAATTACATAGCAGAGAAGCAAATTACCAGCCATGGGTTAAAAAAAAAACATAGGAAACATTCCCCACCATCACCAAAAAATATTACTACTGTGGAACTCATTGCCACTGGATGACACAGGTGCCAAATACAGACAAGGTGAAAGAGAGTTACACAAATTTAAGGAGGAGAAATCTGCCTGTGGCAGGGTAGGCTGACTGCACTCTCCAAAGCACTGACTGCCAAAGCTGTTGTTGAAAGATCGCTCTTAATCCCCATTTGTCGTACTCTCCCCTAAGCATCTGTCATTGCAGACAGTATGTGGCACAAGATGAACTCCTGTCTGATACTATAGGTTCGTTCTTATGTTTTTCTAGGCTGGGCATTCCACAGTGGGTATGTGGAGAAAGGAAATAATCTCTCCCTCCAAACAGTGCTGGAGAAGACAAACCCCTGGAAGCAGTGGATGGAGATGACGCAGACAGAGCGAGTCAGCTGAAACATATCTGCTATCTGGATTTGGCAAGAGGGTTGCTCCACCTGTAAGTGGACCGTGCATGTCGCCACTGTAGCGGGCAGCTTGTTAGCTGCTCGTTCTAGCCCCATGCCACAGCCAGCCAACTGAAATGATGAACAACATTAAACAAACCACAGGCCCTCTCCTCTCTAGAGCTCACAAGGAATTTCTCAACAGCATACTTAGCCTCCAGGGCCAAGGCGAACACTCCGGCTGCTTCAGGGGCAGCTGCAGACGTTCCCGAGTGACGCAGGGTGCAGTTGCCATACAAATCCGTTGTAGCCTGCAATGATATTAGACATAATTAATGAAAGCAGATGGTCCATTTTCCTTGCAGCTACAGACTCAGAAAAATACAGAAGTGGAGTTTGTGCCCGTGCTCTTTAAAGTAATGGTGCATTTGTTCCTAGGATCTGTTTTCTTTAGAATAGTGCATCAATTTAAGAACACAGTAAGACATAGTAACAGAAGGTTTGAATGCAAGAATAAATCATGATGTAGTAAAACAATGTTTACTACCGCTTAGAACTCATAAACTCATACGGATGGCATTTATTTCCTATAAACACAGTTTAACCAAAGGCCTTAAACTCCCTTGTGGTTATCAGAAGGATTTGAAACTAGAATTGTGAACAGTATTGAGCTTTTCAACATTTGTGCAACTGCAGAACCAACAGCAGAACCAGGCTTCTATCTTCTATGCAGATCAATCACTAAGAAGAGACCAGAAGGAAACCTTAAGAGATGCATTTTATGCCAATAACAACAGAGATGCCACAGATCATCTTGGCTGATGTCAGCATAGAGCTGATACCAAGATAGAAACCAGTATTTTTCCATCTGCCACCGCACATGGACATTTAGGATTATACAGTGGGTCTTTGGGGTTTGAGACAGGGCCATAGAAAATGTATAACAGCTTTTGGCAAAAACTAACCTTGAGTTACTACACCTGAATTTTCCACTCTGTGAATTAGTCTATGTCCTGGCTAGTCTGAAGGTTCTGAAGAGCAGTGATCAGTGCGGCGGAAGAGAATCTCAGTTACACCTGAACACAAACTGCGTATTCTCCAGCTGTAGGTATGGCCCTGAATACGATGCTCTGCACTGCTCAACAGGAGACTGAGGGTGATCTGAACCCCCACATCACCTCTGTGGGTGACTGAATGTCCTTCTGCTCTGTGCAGCTTGCAGCACAGCACAAGTCTGGTTTGTGACTGCTCTGCCAGCATAAGTAAGCATGATCTCAGATGTTGACACTTTTCATTCAGATTTTTACAGACACCTTTTGTCGCACCATCCTCTGGGAAGAGTGCTATTGAACTTCTAAATCTGGTTTCTGATAAAGGAAAGCACCAGTTACATGAAGCTCCAAGAGATGGAAGATCATTGCTGTTCTCAGTATTAATCCCACATCTCCTCAGCTGACAGTTTTGGCACCATCATGTACTGCAGATGAGAAAATATCCATCTCAACAAAGAACCATCTGCTGCTCCAAAGCAGACAGAGTTGTAATAGGTCGTGGGAGTGCACAAAGACAGCAGCAACAGCACAATAATATCTGGACTCACCACGCCAGCCTCCGGATTTCTCTTCCTCCCATTACTAAAGGTGGAGGCTAAGGTTGAAGAGCAGCTTTCATCATACAGAGCTGTCCGTCCATCATTTATAGCAGAATTGATGGAGATTGTCCACATGCTCGATGCGTAACCATCACAGTTACAGTCATCGTAGCTGCCCCCGTCTCCAGAGGCCCAGACATAGATGCTTCCTTTGCCGCCGCGGCCCTGTGAAAGGGAAAAATCCACCCTCTTGGGTTAAACTGCAAATAGGAGATAGCAGCTACCTTAAACTGCACATGTAATTGTAACGCTAGGCATCTATAAAGGAGAAAACTGGTCCAAACAAAATATACATCAACCTTAAGCTGAAATAACATGGACTTCTGCAGGTTATTAAATCCAGTTAACTGGCAGTCATGGCCAGCTCTGCAACCTTATGTACACAAAGCACTTCCATTTATCTCCTGTTTTGCTTGACGCCCTGAAGGCTCCTCTGCCAGATGCTACGACATTTTATGGATTCATTAGCATTTATGTCAAGGTCTAAGTGCTATGAGGAAAGGGTTCTTTTAAAAGGGATATAGGTCATCTCACACACTGGGTTTGTAAGATCCAATTAGGTTCAGGCAATGGCTGAAAAACTCTGTAAAACTGGCACCTTTTTCTCTCAATACGTTTTTTCTCTTAAAGGTATCACTGACTGAGAGCTGTTTTTCTGACAAACCAGCTTCTACTACTAAGCAGAAAATAAAGTTATGGGACCATATGAATCACCTACAGAAAGATGGTCTGCCAATTACACTGAAAAGGCGAGAGATGGACGGGAGAGGCTGAAGCTGAAGGGCAGCTATAAAGGCTTCCTGTTGGTTAAAGGAAAGAAATCTGTGTCCTCTCCCCAGCTCGCAGATGGTTGCAGGTAGGAAAGGAGTGGGAAGGGATCAACTCAGCTCCTTCTTCTCATCCCATACTAAGAAAGAGTATGCAGGGCTGCCTGGAAGGGGGTTAGACCCGAGAACCCCGACACTCGGGAAAAGATCAGCGCTACTGAACCCTAAGCTCAGATCTCCCACCGATTGCAGCACAGCCACCATTCTCTCTGCGTTTAGTCTAATGTAATTCCCTGTTTACTTCTAGCAGCACCAGAAGGGCACAATTTAACATACTGTTTATATGCATTGGGCAGAAGGTAAGAAAAAAAAATCTCTTCTGGCCTCTTCATTGTCCAGCATGAAACGGGAAGTTAAAGAATATACAAACATAGCAACCTGCAATGGTATTTTAATTGGGAACCTTTTCTGCCAGGAATTTAAATCAAATCTGAGCTCCCAGCAGTAGCTTCTATTTTTCATCATACCCCACTGAACAGAGCAATCTCATTATTTCAAGCACATTAGTGAGTTGCATTATAATCCACTGAATTGCACAGCAGGTTTGCTGCCACTGGGGCACATAACATCTTGGGACATAGATTTTCATAATGAAGATGATGACCATGAAAAAGCTTACAGAAATCAGTCTAAGAACTCCCACAAAGATCTGAGATCAGTCATTTGAGTTTTAAGGGAGGAGGACACTGTTACAAAAATACGTGTCTAAGAACAAAGCAATTCCAGCAAATTATTTTTTAAAAAATAAAAAGATCAGCATAACAAGAACAGTTATGCCTTTTTTCACTTTGACTTCTTCCCCTACAGGGCCCAACCCTGGCCTTTGGACTCACTTCAGAGGCTACATCCCAAGTTTGCCATCATGCCCACATACACCATCACACCACCTTGACACCATCTGCCTCCTTTGGACGGTCTTGGTGGCAGCTCGAGCACATCTCTGTCCCAAAACAGCAGGCTGCTGCCCAATGCAGAGAGCAGATGACCGCTGGTGCCAGGATTAGGATGTTTGGCATGTACACGCCCATTCTTAAACAACCTTTTCCTTCCAGTCATTTTAAAGGGAGAGGAAACACTTCATTTTCATGTGATAAATTCACAGAAGTAGCTTGGTGCCTGGACGTTAGTCTCTGCAGCATTCAGCATGGGGAAGCAGACTTAGCTCTCCTTGGCAAATTGTTCCACACTGCCAAAACTGGGTATTGCTGTGAAGCATTTCAACCCACAGGCAGGATTTGTGGCAGAATGGCCACAAACAGGTCTAGCAGATTGTTGGTGGGGAGCAGGGGGAATCCACAGAGGAAATTAAATTTGGGTTCGAGTTCATGGGTGGAATGCTGCTGGGGACAGGTTTCTGCATCTAAATACTCTAACGTGAGAATGACCTCGTGATACCACTTCTATGAGAGTCACATCCGTAGTGTGGCTTAGTGTTAAAACCTGTAATTCACCTCTTAATACTTCAATTGCCTTTCCTTCTTAGCCAGGACTGGAAAGAGGAGCACACACTACTGGAATAAACTGATAGCAGTCCAAGTACATTACTTGCGATGGTGCTTGGGACTTGCTGCTCACATTTCCCACAGCCAGACCTGCAGTAGTTGGACAGTTCGCCCAGGCACACTGTTTGGTGGCTGTCCTCAGGCATCCTTTCATTTAGCAGGCAGAATGTATTTCTTGGCTTCAGGGGAAGCGAATTTTCAGTCCTCTGGATGGTAGTAGTCTAAACCAGAAAAATCCCAGTTGGGTCAACTAAGTGTCATATTTAAAGCGAACTGAAAGCTCCTATTTCCATCTCAATGTTATATGAACCTAAAAAATTTCAGTGGTGTCTCTCAACTTAGGCTGCTGTAAATTTAGACCAAAAAGACGACTGGTGAAGATGGTCGTAATGCACACTATAAACACTAGAGGGAGCCTGAAGGAGGAGACAGAAAGAAGAGAGAAGACCAAGAAGATAATAAGATACACTGTAAAGAGTATCTTTCCTCCAGAATCCCGTTGAAACCTGTTCAGTTTCCCCAAAAGTGAGGCACAGAGTAGCACCCACACTTCTGAGCCATCTGAAGTTGTATCTCACTCAGAGCTGGAATGGATCTTGGTGCATTTAGTACAAGCCCAAGAAAGGCCCACCTCTCAATTCAGGCTAAACCAGAATTAAATCCTGGGCAAGGCTATATGCTTAGAAAGTCACAGGCAGCTGCTGAGCAGCTCTCTCTGCAGAAACAGCAGGTTTTCTATTTCCATGTCCTTCATGGGATGTTGTGCTACCAGCAAAAAACACTCCTGAGAAATTTTCTTACCCCTTTTCTCATCTTCTGAAGAGCATAATCCCAGAAAAACTTCTTTACTGAACTACCTTGCAAAAGGGAGTTGGCAGGGGACTGCAGCCTAATTCACTTTGTGTAACTTCAGGCCCATCTGGAACTCTTTTTTTTTTTTTTTCCCTTGTTACTGTGTTCATTCATCGTGCTCGCTGGACTAGTGCCCGAGCCAGTGATTCTCAAAGTTCTGATTGCTGGATCACACTTTCCAGATAAAAAATGGTGGTGGTTGACAAATACATCTCCTCCAGCTTCCCTGACCTTTCCAATCAAGGCTGGCAAGTGCCCGTGTGAATTACAGCTGGGCCTCTAACATGGCACAGCCTCTACAATGGCTCCTCTAGCTCGCTCACTTGGAGTTGCTAAAGATGGATGGAAGGAACACCACAGTCTTTACAGCACATTTCTGATGCCCTCTGGCTTTGGCCTAATCCTTCAGTCATAGATCAGGACTAACAGTTTCCAACCGGCTGAAAACAAAGAACAGACTCCTGCCCCGAAAAGCCAAGTACCAGGGAATGACAGCATCAGGACACCATCAGGCAGATGGGCTCAGGAGAAGAATAAAAAAAAGCAGCACCTGACTGCGAGGAGGTATTTTTTTACACGCAGTGAAAAGGTATTTCAGGATAAGGACAGCCAAATGGTTTGCTGATATGGACGGACTGTCCCATTTATAAGGAAGAAAACGCAGCTGGAGCACATTGAAAAAAAATAAAGAATTACAGAACTGGAAATGGCTTTCTGTAACAAATTCAAAGCACATATTACTTCATAAGCACCTTTCTTTTTGTGTGACATATGATAGCTATTTTGTAATTCTTCCCTTTAAGAATAAAAGGAAGTGTTTCAGCACCTTCTATATAATTTAATAGCAATTTATGTGCTTGCTATGGCAAGAGAGAGGCTGGTTTTCCAGGAAAAGCAAATAATTCTACTGCTTTTTCAGGTCTTTGCCATGGGTCCTACTGACTTATGAATAGGACTCAGTTAGTTTCCATCCTCTATTCATCTCAACTTTATTTTTCTCTGAAAAGAGCGTTTCTCTTCAGGACTGAATTATTTGAAAATCCGTATGTGTTTTGTAATTAAAAACTGCATCCTTCAGTAACGATTGCTAATTATCTCAGAAAGTGTAGTTTGCAGCCCATGCAGGCAACGTAAAAATTGCCATCGCGCCCTGAGGCTGGGGCACGCCAAGGCAAGGACGGACTGTGGAAGAGCTGTGGAACCACGTGCCCACGGTCATGATGTGGCGGGGAGCATCGGGCTGGGCTCTCAAGACATCCAGGAGCCTACGCGGAGACCTTGCTCTGCCCTGGTGTCCCCACCACTCCTGCGCATGAGTGACTGCTATGTGTCATAAGCCAGTTGGAGGCAGTGAGTCCTTGGCACAGCTGAACTGCTACTCATCTTTAGCACTGCCAGGGTTTTCTGGAGCCCGTCTGCATATTCCTGCATCCCTGACGTGGTGCCAGCTGGACAGCCCACTGAGCCCTCGCTCTCGTGGCTCCTCCAGCTACCTCTGCATCTGCCAGGCTGATTTGCTCAGAGCAATCTGGTAGCCTGTGACTTAGTAGATCCCTTTGCTCCTTTCCTATACTGATTTCTTGGGGAATGCTAAAATCTAAAACAAAATTTAGGCAGAAATACATGCTTCACAGCCATTCAAGTAGTCTCACTTTAACCACAGAGACACCGAAGTTTTGAGCAGGAAACATACTTAGATGTCTAAAGTTTGCCGTTGCACACGTTCAGGGGAACAGCTGTCTTGTTTGAGCTGAACGCCTTAGCACTTCTCACAAGTCCAGCCCCTTCCAGGAAGCCTGGAGCTGCTGTACTGTGTCCCTGGGAAAGCCCAAGATGCCTGGCCTACCCAGCACACCCACAAGTCATGGAGTTCAGCACAGAAGAAACAGCAGCTGGGTTATCCTGCTCAGATTCACCGCTGCTGAAGGAGGTGTCCCTTCGCTGTTGGCCTATCTAACCCTCAGGCATTCAACAGAGAAGGAGG